TGGGGCACAGAAATGAAAGGTAGCCAGGGTCGGAGAAAGGTTTTAAATGGGGAGTTCCGTTTTTATCTTTGCTGTCAAGCAGAAAAGTCAGACTCTAGGGGTCCAAACAAGAAGCTTTACTTTTGAAAGGTTCAAGTTACTTAACTATGGATACCAAGTACAAAAAAGAGGCAAACATATTTATTTATGCTCATGAGGACAATAAAGTGGGAATTCACTCATCTGAAATCTGGGTGGAATATTGGTATAAAACATTTTGGTACTCTTCTAATTTTGGTTTCTTCATAAAATGTTGAAGAAAGCGATCTTTAAAGTGTCGGTGGTTCTGTCAGTCTAGTATTTTTACTGTGGAATTTTAAGACTATTTGGACTACTTTTGGGAAGAGATAAGTGTCTCTTTGACCTGCAAATAAAAGCTGTGTTTGGAACGGCACCACTTCTAAATGTTCACATAATTTATATTAATAGTTTCAGAGAATACGTCAGTGTACATATCTCATTTAATGATTTCACTGAAATGATGAAATAGGGGGTATTATGTTCAATTTGCTGATGCAATGAAGCCATTGTGGTTATCATCTTGATAGGTATTTACATTTGATAGTGTTATTGACATTTGGGATACCAGCCTTCAAGAAGAAGTCCTGCCCCTGAGAAAGAAAAAAAAAACCCTTTCAGGGTTGATGTCACCTTCATCCATTTGGTAAATGTACTTGAATGTTCTTTGATGGTTTTCTTGGTATCTCTTCTACCTCAGTAGAGTGAAGCACTTTGATCAGACTCCTCTTGACTCTATTTTTTTTTTTAAAGATTTATTTATTTTTGCATACAGAACTGGGGTACAGGCCAGAGGTGCAGGGGGCAGCAAGAGGATTCACCAGAGACAGAGTGGGGAGCAGAAGAGGTTGACTGATGAAGTACACTGCTGAGGGGAGCAGTGAGTGTGTCAGGAGAGGTCTGCTACACCATGGGGTCACCTCCCTGGTGGGGAATTGAACTCATGCTGAAGTGAGTTTAGCTTCTTCATGCTGTGCTTTATGCTGCTGCGCCACTAGGGAGGGCCCATGACTCTACTGGCCTGTTAATGCCTTACTTAGTCACCCAAATGAACCACTCAATTCCAGATACCTTTTCTTATTTATTTCTGTGCCATATAACCTAGAATATAGAGATGTGCAATGAAAAACTGCAAAATTAAATAAAAAGAATCTATTTGGGGACTGGTGCTACAGTACTGGTCATGAAATTTAGTCTCTGAGGTAGGAAGAGGACATCATTGTATATATCTTGTTTAGGTAGAAATTTGCCCTATATATGCATTCAAACAAACAACAACCTAGAGTAGGGATATAGCTAGGGATCAGATCTATTAATAAAGTTGAATTAAAAGAATTTAAAGAAATGTTAATTAAAGTTCATGAATTCTGGGAATTTAAAAAATTGTGTTTTGCCTTTTTCCCAAATGATACTACCATATCAAATACATTTAATAGCACTTTTTGTATTCAATCAGGACTTAGTTAGCATAGTGAATTATAATTTTTAATTATAACTTGTTCTTATTGAAAGGCTCTTGCTAAGAGAAGTCGTTAGCAATGAAACTATGTGAAAGCTTACCCACAGTACTTGTTTAGCTGGTGGTTACTCACAATCTAGAATGTCATTTTTTTAAAAATTGTCTTATAAATGAAAAAAAAAGTATTTTTAAATGTTGTACACAATTCTTCACTTTCTTCCCTTGATATATTTGTGACCTCTTGTTTGGGAAAATGCCGCTTTAACAAACATTTGCTGCTCTCTAAGAATTGAAGCTTCAAAGATGGGAAAACAAAAACAAAAGGCTTGGCTTTCTGTGTAATGGCTTACTTTAACAGCAAACTGTAAATAGACTGATGTGTGCTGTCCTAAAGGAATGCAGAGGAATATTCGAATGTACAGAAAGGAGCTGACCAGTTATCTTAAGGGTAGAGATTTAGAGCATATCATGGAAAATATATTGGTTGAATTATAGGGTGGAAGGGTTGATTAAACCAAGCAGAGAGATAGACTATATAAACCAAGGTCATGAAAGACATGGTGAGCAACATATATAGTCATATATTGAGATAATTTATGTAATGTAGTAGGTGTAATATGTGTAATATTATGAGATATGTAATGTGAACTGTATGTTGGAACATAAAAGTCTTCATTGTTAGACCAAGTATTTAGAAATTATCTCATACTCTTAAGGAAGTAGTGAAGATTTTAGAACTGCAAAGTATTTGTGGCAGAATTTTTTATACATAGCAGTTAGTCACCTTGTAATGTAAAGTTCTCCACCTGTCATTGGAGTTCTTCAAGAGCAGTGACAATGAGTTAATAATTTCTGTATACTAAGCTTTTGGTACAGTAACTGATAAAAGCGATGCTTAGAAAACATTGTTTTAAATAACAAATTATGAGTAAAGAGGATTCAGAGGAGAATGATAACAGTCTTTTATGTGGTGGTTTTAATTTTTTGTGGGTGATAAACCTCTTTGTGGTACTGTTGAAACCTATAAAATTTCTCTTTGATACATACATTTGGCCTTACAGTTTCATGGGCTTTATATACTTCTCAAACCAGTTCATGGATTTCTGGTTCAGAATCCCTCCTCAGGAAATTATACTCATGGGTACTATAATCACCATCAGACCTCACTCACCAAGAATAACTGGTGTCTCTTTTATCAGTGTTGAATCATATGTCTGTTTCTTAAATTTTTCTTGAGTTCTCTTCTTACTTGGGAGGAGTTAATTCAAGTAGCTAAACTCTCTAGGAAGAAGAAACAAATTTTTAATTGTGATTAAGGTCAGACTTAGCTGGTTGGAAGAAAACAGACAATTGTGCTAATTGAGTTTGAGTCAAGAGGCAACTTGAGGAGAATTTGACAAATGAGTTGGGAGACCCTCACACTCATCCTCAGGTCTTTTCCATGGTTTCCTGGAAGGATACAGAGACTCTGAAAAGCTGCCACACTCGTGGTTGTAGTTTACTACAGTTGAAAAAATAGATGAAAATCTTCAAAAGTAAAAGATTTATGGGACAAAGTCTAGGAGAGAACAGATCCAAGTTTCCAGGTGTCCTCAACTTGGGAGGAGCACAGGCATGTGCCATAGCCCAGCACTGGTCTGACAGCACGTGCACCATGTTGCCAATCAGGGAAAGCTCCTCCATACTTGGGTTCAGGGTTTTTATTGAGGTGTAGCCACACAGCCTTGTAGCATTTTTGTCAGGAAGAGTATCTCACACTCAAAGTTCATCTCCCAGGAATTGACCAAAGGCAGTCCTAAAGTTGTGCCCACGAGTTCTTGGGAACATGTAGGGTTTGAGTAACTTGGGCCTGCTGTGTTAATTTAAAACTCTCTCTTGGGCCCTCCCTGGTGGTGCAGCGGGTTAAAGCACAGCACTAAGAAGCTAAAGCCACTTCAGCATGAGTTCGATCCCCACCCTGAAAGTGATCCACATGGTGCGGCAGACCTCTCCTGACCCGCCCGCTGTTCCCCTCAGGAGTGTATTTCACCAGTCGGCCTGTTCTAGTCCCCGCTCTGTCTCTGGTGAATCCTGTCACCACCCCCGCACCTCTGGCCTGTACCCCAGTTCTATATGCATAAATAAATAAAATCTTTAAAAAAAAAAAAACTAACTCTCAGCAAGTTAGCTGCTCAGGGTTAATTGTCTTCTGCCTGCGTGCGTCTCTACTCCTTTTCTAGATATTGTAGACCTCCCTGGTTTCATCATAGATGACCTTTCTACCTTGTATTTTGCCAACAAATAATTTGAAAGTTTGTTTGAAATGACCTTTTGTGCTTTGCAGTTTCATGAACTCATACTAAAACACACATGCCCATTTTGTCATTCATTCAAGTGTTTTTAAAATGCTGTTTGATATCTCAGGCCTAAAATCAGATTGGATTTACATGCCTCTCCCCTCCAGGAACTAGAATTTCACAGCAGTAACTTTTTCAAAGAAAAGTGACAATTGTGGCAACCATGTGTGCTTTGGGATTTTTTTTAAAGACTTATTTATACATACAGAATTGGGGTACAGGCCAGAGGTGCAGGGGATGAGAGGATTCACCAGACAGAATGGGGAGCAGAACAGGCCTACTGAAATATACTGCCGAGGAGAGCAGCAGACCAGGCAGGAGAGGTCTTATAATCTCCCTACTTGCAGAGTTTGGGGGAACATGCATAATGCTGTACTGGTGGGATGGGATGGTGCTAGTGATAACTAGGGGGAGACTTTCCTAAGGGAGGCCCTGCTAGAGTTGAGGCACAAAGATCATAGATGCATGTTGGTCAGCTCTAGACTATATGGTTGGAGTATATGCATGTTATGGTAGAGTCTCTGGCTTACTGACAGAGTAGCTAGAAGATAGATGTCTTTCTTGGGGTTTGTGCAGGAGAAAAGAATGTCTGCTTCATTATGAATCTGTTTCCATTACTCTATTACTAAAAATCCACCCAAATGACATTTCCAAGTATAGTGAGTAGCTAATTGTATTTTCACACTAAATGGGGGAGTATGTGAAATCCCAGTTTGTGCTGATAAGAGTTAAGTGTAATTATTAAAACTATAAATGCTTTTTGTTTCAAATGTGAGGGCAAATACTTGTTTTACCTAAATGAAATTGCCTGTAACATGTTTCTATACTTGGAAGCAAAAATGTTGTAGAAAAAACTTGGATCCAGTTGTCATCTTACTTGGCTCCTTCATGTGTATGTTTCTCAACAGAATTTGCAACTTCTAAGATAATAAAGAGTTTAACAATGTAAAGAAAATTTATGATTCTAATAGTATCAAGAATGTATTGTTAAAATATAGGATAATTTCAAATTGTTAACCTTGAGAATGTTTTCTAATTTCTAATAAAACTTATGATTCTAATAGTATCAAGAATGTATTGTTAAAATATAGGATAATTTCAAATTGTTAACCTTGAGAATGTTTTCTTGCTCTCTTTTTCCAGCACTGCAGTGTTTCTGCCATCTTTGTACAAAGGACAATTTTACTTGTGTCACAGATGGGCTTTGCTTTGTCTCTGTCACAGAGACCACAGACAAAGTAATACACAATAGCATGTGTATAGCTGAAATTGATCTGATTCCTCGAGACAGGCCCTTTGTATGTGCACCATCTTCAAAAACTGGGTCTGTAACATATTGCTGCAATCAGGACCACTGCAATAAAATAGAACTCCCACCTGTTGGTAAGTTGTATATAATTTTTTCTTACAATTACAGGAAAGCTCTTGGTTTTGTAACTGGAGGGGAGCTTAGAAACGGTCTGCTCCAGTTTGTTCAGTTTGGAGGCAAGAAATGATCTTGTTCATAGTTGTAGTTATAAGAAGCCAAAATCCTGACTCTTAAGTGTAGGTTGGTTGAGAAGGTAGTTTCAAGGTAAGCTTTCTCTGAGTTCTGTAATGCCCAAGAGCGTAGCCTCTTAAAAAGCAAATTCTGATAAATGCCACTCAGTAATATGTACTCAGAATGTCTGTGCTTTGTCCTCAGAGTAATGTCCTTCTTACATTACTCCCACCTTATAAAGTAGGCCACAATGGGCAGGAGTGGACAGCAGTACTAGACAGTCCAGATGCCTTCATTTTGCAGTTTTACCTTGCCTTACAATCTTTATAAATTATTATATATGATTTCTAAGTTTTTGATTCTTCACCTATAGTTTACATTTTATTTTGTTACTTTTTTATCAGCTTCATCAATTACACTGATGTAGAGTTTTATCAATCACTGTTTACATGCCAGTTTTATCACTTTGGTCTAATGACATCCTTTGTAACATTTCCCTTTCTAGTAAATGCAATATCTGTAAGTCTAGGATTCAGTCTAGACTTAGGTATTGCATTTAGTTGTTATGTCTCTCTAACTTTTTAAATCTAGAGTAGTTACACAATCTTTTTTTGTCTTTTGTGATAACATTTTTTCAAACTTTATTGCGATATGATCAACATGTAAATGCTGTGTAAGTTTAAGATGTACAGTATGTTGATTTGAAACACCTGTATTTTGCAAAATGATGCCCTCCATAGATTATCTAATGTCTGCATTACTTTTTGTGGTGAGAGCATTTAATTGTTACTCTTAGCCACTTTCAATTATAGAACGTAATATCATTAACTATAGTCACTATGCTGCTATATGTAGATCCTTAGAACTTGTTCATCTTATAACGGAAAGTTTGTACCCTTTGGTCAACAGCTCTCCTTTCCTCCGTACCTTCCAGCCCGATTGTATTCTAGTCTGTTTCAATGGGTTTGGGCTTTTTTTTTTTTGGTTCCACTTATAAGTGATACACAGTATTTGTCTTTCTCTCACTTACTTCACTTTGCATAATGCTTTCATCATTCATCCAAATTGTTGCAAATGGCAGGATTTCCTTCTTTTGATGGCTAAATAATATTCCTGTGCATGTGTACACACATATGCATGTATGTATATATATACAACTGTCTAAGGGATCTGAGTATACACTTTTTAAAATCTAGTCATCTGTTGATACACACTTGGATTGTTCTCCTATTTTTGGCTAGTGTGAATAACACTGCAGTGGACACAGGAGTGCAGCTCTCTTTTTGTGATCCTGTTTTCATTTCCTTCGGACATATGTCCAGAAGTGGAATTTTGGATCATATGGTAGATCTATTTTGAAATTTTTTAGGGGCTGTCATATTGTTCCATAGTGACTGTGCTGGCTTATATTCCCACCAAAACAGTACACCAAGAATCCCTTTTCTTCAGGCCCGCACCAATACTTATCTCTTGTCTTTTGAAAAATATGTATTTAGTGAATTATTCTACTGAGGCATGATTGACATAACATAATTTCAGGTGTACAATCTAATGATCCATTATTTGACAGATGAGCTCCTCATTCAGTCTATCTAGTTAACTTTCATCACCAAACATAATTGCAGAAAACTTTTTGTGATGAAAGCTTAAATATCTATTTGTCAGCAACTTTCAGATATGCAGTACAGTATTAACTAGTTACCATGCTATATATTACATCCATAATGTAATATGGAAATGTTTTATAGTGAGTTTGCATATTTATTAAAATAAATATCCACTTACATTAAAAATATACTGGTATTGCTAGGAATTCATAACTTTTAGAATTAGTTGAATGTTAAGGTTCTGGCTTACATATGAGCTGAGTGCATGTGCTTAATTTTTCAGTAACTTCTCAAATTCCTGTTGTGATAATCAAAAGAGGAAAAAACAGGGGAAATCTGTATCAATTTAGTCTGAGTTAGTGGAAGACTGTCACCCGCATGCCTACATTTGTAAGAAACTTCTGCAGGTTCTATTGTGACAGACATAATAGTGAAGATTTGACTAACTATGAAAAGAAATATGTGAAGGAACCTCTTAAGCTTCAGGGTTAAGGTTAAGGCTAGGCTACAGGGGAGAACTCAGATCTCCTTTAGGAAGCACCTAGTTTCAGTGCTTACTGAAGCAGGTGCCTTTGCCCACTTTTCTTGCAGTTAGTCTAACCATTATGCTAATTTAAGTAGGAAGTAGTACCCCCATATGAGGGCCATGAGGGCCCACCTTCCAGTCATAGGAGGCCGTGCTCCACCTTCCTCAGGTAATAGTTAAACTAAGCAAAATTAAACTAAGCCTTCAACGAGATAGGGAAGCCCCTCATGGCGAGGTTCTGTCAGATTGTAACTTCTCTGGCTTTTATGTAAGTACTTGCAGTTGTATGACAGAGAAAATGATAATTCCAGAATTATCCATATCCATTGTTGGGCTTGAAGTACCTAAATGGAGATTCATAAAACCACTTGAGAAACTCACTTTTTTTTTTTTTCATACTAAAACTGATTTCTAATACTAGTAATACATAAATTCTCCAGTTCCCAGTTGCTGGATAAACAGCAAAAGTATTACCAAATGGTTAGGCTTCAGTG